ACCCGAGCATAGGGTCTATAAGAAAACACTGGACAAGCTTACCTAGCATATCGATATAAAGTTATTATACTTGTCGATTTGCTTTAGTCGGAATAAGGAACACATTGTGACATCTGTTGTGAGCTACGAGCAGTTAAAATATCATCGATTTGTGTGTTCTAAGAAGACGTCACCCTCACAATCTAAACTGCATCTGCTTTAGGCGAATATTTGCCTTTCCTAAATACGTAATTTACTACTCAAACTTACGTCATATTCTATTGTAAGTCTGCTTTTGCTGGGCCCTCACACTGCATCCCTATCTAATAATAGGGATCGCTTTGTTGGTCAATTCTCAGCGAAGACGGTAACAATCGGCAACACAGCGTCTGTTGTCACGTGGTGGCACCGACTCGTATACGCTCCTTTACGTCGATTGCAAATAGAAATAGCAATCAAGAAACGCTACTAATTGACGTAATCTGGCAATAATAAGAGAAGCTGCTTAAAATAAGACCAATACGCAGACATATCGACTAAAGCTTCAAGTGCTCCGCGCCTGCATAGGTCGGGAAAAGCAACCTGTTACGTACATGCATAATTCGTTGTTTTGCAGAAAGAAACTATCCAAATATGCGTTATCGACGCCCAGAATGGATTATGATGTCAGTAAAATTGTCATGGTAATGAGAAGACCAGAATCCTATGATCAACAGCCTGCTTTTCATCGATGAAATGCTTTACCGATAATAATAATCTGGAAAATAAATACAATGGAAGCAAAAAATAAGCCGAGCCATTAAAGCAGAGTTTTTTCAACTTCTGATTTATTATATTCTCAATCCATAAGTCACAAATAAATACTATCGTCGTCGCAACCAGCTTAACCAATAAGCCGCGTTCTTTAACAAACTTTACAGTGGCGAATGATAATGCTGGCCTCTAAAAGACCGTACACGTTGGGAATAGATCCTCTCTGCTTTTATGGGGCTTTGCTAGTACAACTAGACGGATCAAACACTTTTTGTCTAAAGCGCGAACTTTCAATATCGACTGTAAAACTTCGTTATGAGTGTATGTATATATATAGGGATATCGACTAAGAACATTTAGAATTGGCAGTGGTCTCTAACTAAGCAAATCACACACAAAGTATTTATTAGATCGTTATAAAGCACGTCAGAGGTTATCCTGCAATCCTGCAAAACATTCTTGTGTTCAGGGTACGTTATCGTGCGTAGATCACAGTCGTATAACAAGCAAATCGTATTATAGATACAGGGGACGGAGGCACGAAGTTGATGAGGTTTGATACGAATCCCTTACGTAGGCCAGCCGTTCTGGAAATCCTTTGCGGTGATGGGAGTTGCAAACTCAAATTGTGGAGAAGAGGGTACTTTAATGTTATATTTTTAGACAGTCTGGCTATTGCTGATATGCGTATCAGGTTCTGTCTTGCACGCTCCTCGTGCGTATACGGAACCTTTTTGCGTTATTGCATTGAGACGTATAATACAACGGATTATCAAGAGAATTTCTGAAAGCTCGTTTCTCTGAGAGCTGCGTTTTATCTTAGATAGTCTAGGCATGAATCAAAAATCGATTCAACGTATGGAACTTCTGTTGGATATCTATCTATTTCAGAACCATCAGAAATACATAAAAGAAGCGACTGACTGATGAAGTGCTTGATTAGGCGTTCATCAAAAGATCCAGGAGGAATTCAAGAGCAGACTGGAATATGGATATGCTTATTACAATTGTTTAGGGCGACAGAAAATAGGTATATAGACTCGTTCGCTACGTGGTGCTTATAATAGGCTCCCCTATCGTCTGGGGAGATCCTTAAAGCATTTAAAGGAACGACGAAGAACTTATCTTAATGATCAAACCGAGTAACTTTGGTATCACTTTCAGGTGCGGAAGGCGTCGAGCGAATGCCTCTTGTGCGACCCCCCTAAGATTTTATTTTTATAAATAAAGTAAGTTTTCAGATCAGTTCATTCGGCGGGTCTTACAACATTTCGGTCGATTGTGCAGCAATGCAGCTTGTTCCGGCTGTTTGTTGTGACTGTTTAGTCGAAAAGCAGTATCTCCTAGACTACCAAATCGCCACATATCCACCGGCGTAACGCAAAAGATTAATTATACGATTGTTGTTTTGGAAGTATTTTTCTCTAAACTGCAGGAATGACTGGGATTTGTGATACTCCGTTTGGATTTTGTTGAGTGACGATGGCGAATCATAAACAATAGTGAAGACTTATCATAGGAATGAGTGCTTCGAAGTTATGCAGACTTTGAGCTCGGGCAAAAAAGTCTGGTGAACAAAACTCAAGCTTTGTCTCTAACCGCTGATAGCAAGAATTGAACAAGATAGTGCCGCGTTACTTACTAACAGACAGCAGCATCGGAGATGACTGTATCGGCAACGACCGGCCGAGGTACCTTGCCGTCCGCTGCTCACCGTGCAATACCTAATCGGCCCACGCGGCCCTCATATTCAGGTCCAAAAGACGCGTCGTGAACGCATCCATCGGTCACTGTAAGACTATTGGCCGATCCAATAGAAACAGCAGTACTGATTTAATGAATAGCACTGCAAACGTACGAATGGGTGTGTTTCTACTTTCGCGAAATGCAAAGCGTCATGTCAAACAACATAAAGGGGAAAGCTTTAATTTTGTTCAGGCCATACCTGTCTTTTAGTACAATTAAATGAGTCAAGTATGCAAGACATGACCATTTTGTTTCTCCATAATTCTCGTTTAAGGCCAGGGAGGCGTCGGCAGGATGCGAGCACCCCACACCATTAGACTCATCGGCTTCACTTTACACTTCTATACATTTCATGCAACTGCAGGGAGGATTGTTACTGAGTGCTAGCTCATATATATAATATTGCGCGTAGAGCAATTAGCTCTAAACGTGACGTTAAGCGGCTGCTCGTGCTTTGGCGTCAAATTTGTTCTCTTCGCAAAATATTTCTAAATCCATTTGCGCTAATTAGTGGCTTTTTCTTTTCCATTGTCATTGAACGCAGAGCAAAGTAAGATTAAATAAGGCGAAAAGTAAGCGCCCATATGAGTGTTTACGTAGAGTTATCCTCCCATACTTTGCAACGACACTGGTGCAGATCTTAATATTGTTCCGAAAAAGATAAAAACCGCATGCATGTTGCAGCAATTTTGTAGTGCGTCAACAGACACAATGATCCCTTCAAGTGCTACCGCTTTGTAAATAGTGGTGTTAAACTTTTTTGTTTTTGTGAAAAGACACCCATCCTAATTAATAGATTATAGAGCACGGGGAACACGCATTGCTCATAAAAGTGATAATCTTTCTCTACGACGCTTTTGCTCCCCTCAACTAATGCACAATTATTCTAGAATGCAAAAAAAGTGTATTAAAGACTACAACGCTTACCGGTGTGATGTAATGACAACTTTTAGAAAAGATATGTTTATTGTAACGATATAAATCATATGTTCAATGATATTAAAAAATCGATTAAGTAAAAGGAAACATAAAAGAAAAGTTGAAGGCAAGTTAGAGCATCTGATGCAAACGTTCGAGAGCTTTGAAGATCAGCAGAAATTAGTACAGCGCGGGTGTTTGCCTTGCGCATAATGATCAACGCACGAGTTCTCGAAATCCACACACAGAAAAATAATTCCTAATTAACAAGTGTCACGGCACAATTCAATAACAGTATGCGACTACGTCCGCGGATATGGCCAAACTCAGACCGAGTGCTACCGTTTTCGATATTTCAACCTGATCTACTTTTCTTCTCCAACAAGTATGGATTCGCATTGCCATATGAATCTTAATTGAAGAGCGAAAAAATTATCACTCTTCTGGCGCTTAACTTTTCGACAGACTTTTATTTTTTGGCTAGCATATAATTACAAGGTGCTTGACGTTTTGCAATACCAGTTCATCTATTCATCTCAGCCAACTCTTTCTAAAAAAGACCAGATAAAGCGGCCTTATAACAGATTATCAGAACTTACAGCTGGCAATGTCGATATCCTCTGTGAGGGTCCATCGATAGATACCGGAGCGCCTATGAATAAAATTAGCCTTTGGATTAAAATTTTGACGTGTATTTTTAGACCAAAGAGAAGTATCCGCTGCTCGCTACTCGATATCCATTTGCCCTCACAGCAATGGACTTCAGGCAAATGTTAAGTGTTTATACGAAACAAACATAATTTAAGCGACCGCCAGAAACGCTCATATTGTTTGAGAACACATGTCCCTTTCAATGTTCCTACAAAGGCGCTAGCCATGAAAAGGTCACCCAAAAGACGAGAGAGTTCTAGGTTAATTGGCCAAAATCCTTATGCACGATAGTGGTCCTCAATTGCTATTATTATTATTATAAAAATGTGCAAATTAGCTCTGCTCAAAAGTTTCTCGCATGTTCCGCAGTCACTGCTACAAATACTAACAGTACTGCAATATAAAAAAAATTTTTTAATGAAATTCACGTTGTACCACTGTAAACACACAGTTTAGAAGCCGTCGAAATGGATGTTTATTTAAATAATAAACGACCGAAACTAATCACAATTTCATCGTCGATATTATAATATATACCTGACGTTCGTCGTTTTTCTTTCCTTAGCAATACTATGTTCGATATTACGAAAAACAAACGTACCAATCAAGTGACGACTTGTCTCCCTAATAATGGACATACTTCGTTATCAGTAGCAGAATTAAGGTATGGTCTTATTTTATATTCGTGTTCGTTTTCGTATCATGAACCATGATCGACGCACGTTGTGACCTATTCATGGCATCATCGTCTTTTATTCCTGCCGTCATCGTTATATCCACTCGTTCTCCCGTTTTCGTCTTTTGATCTCAGTACGTACATTGTATTATTATTTATATACTTATAGAAATTCATATCTATATGTATATGTATGTATATATATATATGTATATATATATGCATATATATATGTATGTATATATATATATATGTATATATATATGCATATATATATGTATACATATATATGCATATATATATATGTATATATATATATGCATATATATATATATATGCGCGAAATCTACTTGTTTTGCGACGGTTTCGATGAAAACAAATTCCGTGGTTCTTCTTTGTCTTTTTCAGCATCAACGTACATTTCCGACGTGTTCAACATTATATATCTATATAATAATATTATATATAGTATCAATAATAGTATTATTATTATTCATTGTAGTATTACTATACATGTGTTTATATCTGTGTGCCTACGTTTATAAATGTATAGGAATATAGGACAGTCAAACACAACATCTTAGCGTGGGCGGGAGAGCAACAGCGTGGGGAACAGGGCGATGATCACAATTTCTCAGCCTGTGATTTCTCACAATGCTGCGGTCTGTTGGGGTACCGTACCTGCCTAAGGCATGCCCTATAACCGTATGCTGATATCTTAGGCATAAGACAAAAAAAAATATAAATCGAAACACATCAATTGTACACAAATAAGATATTATTTCTAAGTGTTTATTCTCTCGGCGATGATTGATATTAGATATGATAAATGGAAACATGACGCTGCGTTCAAATAATTAGCTAGGATGCTGCCAATATTCTTCTAATATCATCATCATATATATATATACCAAACGTACAGGCGTGCGTGTGAGTATGACATTGTCTTCGATGATGCAAGGTGTATTTTCGGTGCTTCAAAATGAAATCAAAACTGTTTCCAGGAATTGTACACTTATCCCAGTCTGTAGACATATTACAACATCACAGCAACTAGTTAAAACACTTCTATCGAAGATGATGTCGCTTATTTATAGAAACGCCACCATTTGCAGTGTCAACAAATTGTTAGCAATCAGATAGTCGTCGTGCGTTTTGACTCATATCTTTGTTGTGAAGGCAGGCACCTCTGGCTCGCTTTCTACATCTATGGTATTTTCGCTCTAAGAAGTCTACAACGGCTAAATGCCCGCTATTATGCATTTCTGTTTTTAGATCGCTCTTCCAAGTTTTGCTTTGCTCGATCCAGCTGGCGCAGGTGGCTGCTTACCGATTATCGTTCGCACGTTGCCATCTAAAATATTTGTTAATCGTGTTGGATCGGCTCGTACGATGTGTCCCTATTGCGTTGTCTTTACGAAACGCACTGTTATTTTTGTCCGCCGCCTGCGATCGAGGAGCTGTCATGCAAGCAGAATAAAATTTGGCCGCGAACGGAGTCCGCCTTTCTTGTGGTAGTTCAGGTTCACTGCTATCGCTGCTGCCGTTTCTGCTTTATTTGTTAGTAATATGTAGCATACCACAACCTACTTCCACACCGATTTGGGGGGACGGGGGCTGGCTGGATTATATGGGATGTATTCACTTCATTTATGCATATTTTCAGAAATATCTATGCAACGAAACGTACTTACGTACGAAACGTATTACATTTTTAACAGCATAATAGTAATATTAGTTATTATTGGTGTTATTTTCATCGTATTGGGTTCCGTATTCTTGTGCTGCTAGTGGGTTTACTTTTGTTGCTGAGCAGACTGCGACTGCTGCTGGTGACTACCGCCGCCGGCCTGATGCTGCTGATATTGCTGGTAGTACTGAGCATATTGTTGTTTCCACTGGCTCCATTGTTGCTGATACTGACGCATCTGTTCCGCTGTATATTGGCCACTTTGCACGTTACCGGCGGCCGCGGTCTGTCCCGCAGCTGTAACGTCAAAAGCGTGCCATACGCGTCATTTTGGAGTAACGATTAATATATAATAATATCAGTAAAATCCGAATCTTGGTTACAATATTAAAACGTGTTTGTTTACGAAATTTGTCCGTTTTGCTTAAGTCGATTAGACTGATGACGACCGCAAAAAGTCAGGTAGAAAAAACCCGTATTTGTTTTAAATTTAGACTATTAGCAATATACGGCGCAGCTCATTCCAGGAGGCAATTTTGCCCGTTCGACAACCCGCAAAAAACACTTTACATCACCCACATCAGGGAAAGAGGCCAACAGAGAGACAAGCATCCTTTACAATAGCTGGACGTGTGAATAACGCTAACTCCAATGAGTAGTACATTTTTTGCTCTTCAGCAAAAAACTGAGCTATAAACAAACTCCGGCAAAACTGAAACACCTAATTCAGAACTAATTACCAAAAAATGCACCCGTTAATTTCACACTTGCAGACAACAGTTTTTGTCTGACACGAATGCATTCGGTTCCATTTGACAACCAAATGTCTTATATCGTACTACCGCTGTTCTACAATAACGCCAACGACCCATATGAATACATAGCCCCACGTTTACTTACCAGCTCCGCTGTAGGCGCTGCTGTACGCGTTCGCGCTAGTTGATCCGGTTGAGCCTCCTGCTCGTCCTTGAGAACTTTGTGCTGCTTGCTGGACCGTCTGTTGTTGTTGTTGTTGCTGCTGCTGTTGTTGTTGTTGCATACGGTGGTACTGTTGCCACTGCTGACTCCATTGGGCCTGCGCCGACTGCTGACTGCCTTGCGCGCCGGTTTGGCCGCTCCAGCTGGTCTGAGCGGCACTTGCACTCCGAGCTCCAGTTGCCCCTGAACTGTTCTGCGTGGACGCACCGACCCATGACTGCGCCCCTCCACTCTGGGCAGCTCCAGCACTCTTTAGGTCAAACAACGAAAGCATAAAAAGCAAAAGTTTCTCGTGAAACAACCCGCAGTTTCGATGTATCTATTTAAGCTGCCTTCATTAATCGTCACAATGAAATGATATATACGATACTCGTGTCTTCTACAGAGCTGACATAACTACAGCACTTCTTGTATTAGATATTTCCACTAGCATATCTTTGTAATAAAAAAAAAAAGTCTAACTGTCTTCGCATAGTACATCTAGCTTATTACTTCCTGGCATCTCAAAACGCTAGCGACGACTTCAGAGATTCTTCTGTTCCCGCTTGGAATTACGAATTGATACATCATACTGATACACAGAGCATTTCTATTACTGTTGTGTAAGACTGCTACATTAGTAGCATTAGTGCACCCACTTGTTGCTGTTGAGCCTGTTGAGCATACCACTGCTGCCACTGCATTTGCCATTGTGCCTGCTGCTGCTGCTGAGAAGCACCACTGGCATGGGGGCCGCCTGCCTGCCCCGTCTGCTGCGAACCCCATTGAGCGGCCGGCGCGTTTTGCTGGCCGCCTGTACTCCACGGCGTTCGGTTACTACCCGCAGTGCTGTTGGCATTGCTGCCGTGACCCCGATTCCCACTGTTATAACCGCCGCTGTTGGCGTTGTTCGCATACGTCGAAGCGCCGCTTTGATAGCCCGAACTACTACCACCTTGATAGCGCTGGCTTCCTTGGCTATAGCTGCCAGTTCCGCTGCCAGCGGCTCCATACGAAGAGGTTCCAGACCCACTCCATCGGTTTCCAGGACGATCGTTGTCAGCTGTGAGATTTTTCGGAAAAAGACGAAATACTCTGATGAGCGTACATTTCCCGGACAGCCACATAATTCAGTATGCTGCTGTTTGTACACCCGTGAATTGGGCACTACATATATTGCAGGTAAGTTACCTGGCTGAGGGGAGGACGAATCACGGAGTAAGCAGACCTGTCTTAGCTTCTGCAGTGTTCCTCATAGACTAAACATAACTGAATGCAAATGCCTTTCAATTATATTAGTGTGTATCAGGTGCGATCCGATTGATATAACATAGGAAAAACAACAAAAAACAACCCAAATACAAGCAACCAAATAAACTCATTGCCCCAGTTTAATGGGTAATAGCTGGTCGTTAAGCTCAAATCATCACCGTCATTTAGGGGCTGCTCATTTTTTTCATCTCTCGTTCTTCGTCTTGTGCCGTAATCACCTCTGCGTGTACTGTCGCGGCTTTCTCTCGACTCGTGTCGGCCGCTATCCCGATTATCACGGTAGTTTCCGCCGTCTCTTACGCCATCTCGACTGCCTCCGCCGCCAGATGCGGCTGCGTCCCGATGATCGCTCCGGTGACTGTCACGTTGCTCAGCCCGGTGACTTCCGTAAGTGCGTCCGCCGTCACGATTATGTTGGTAATTAGCGTTGTACGAACCAGCGCCACCTGGCCCACCAAAACGGCCGCCACCATCTCTACCAGCATCACCGCGATTGTAGCCGCCACCTGTTTTGCTCATTTGGTCGATTGCAGTGGACAGTAACGGATCGATAGCGGAGAAACGCATCAATCAAGAGGGCGAGAAAGAGAGAGAGAGCGTAAAACGAGAACAAAAGAACAAAACCAACAAACATAGAACAAATGAGTAACAGAGTAATGGCTCGTGCTAGGGCATGTATGTGTTCATATATGATGGACGGGCGTTTCTGGCCAGCGCTCAAACGTCCTTCGCGCCAAAGGCCTACGTACGTTTTTAACTTCTTAAACAAAAGGAACTGCGCGTATTTTCAACATCGAAGTAAGAACAAACAACAAACGCAAAACAATCAAACTTCATCTGAAACACCAAATGGTCATCGTACTATTTGGGACCTCATTTAGAACTCTTAGACACTTGGTTGAACTATTAAAAATGGGTTAAGTAAGAATGTTAATGTGCTTGCTTGCTAACTCGAATTGACGATATGTCACAATATTGGGTGCTTATCATAGACTGTAACAGATGTGTATGAAAACAACCTACCGCCTTGATTGTTGTAATTATTATAGTTGCTCCCTCCACCTGCGCCAAAGTAACCACCCCGACCACCACCGTACGAGGGTCCTCCATCGTGGCCACCGTAGCCGCCTCGATGACCGCCCCAGCGAGGTTGGAAACCTCCACGATCACCGCCGCCCCAGCCCCCCCGACCGTAACCACCAGGTCCGCCAGGACCACCTCGACCGCGACCTAAACGTTGATGAACGATGCGACGAATGAACGAGCAAAAATGAGAAAACACCGAATGTTACGTAGAAAACACCGTCAATATGACCAGATTTTGGGGACAGTCACTTGAAGCAGATGTAAAAGCAGATTTGGATTAGGATTTTCCTAGTTAAGTAACAACGTCTTGTATATGTCATATAGAATGGAACCGTAACGCTTTGTATCGAACTCAACTGTTTTCTTAGCCCCGATCCTTAGCTTCGACTGCCTCGCAACTAGCAACCCTGGAATCTCCCTGAACACTACTATTATTACTAGTTTTGAGGTGGACGCACAATTTCGCTAATTATACCTTCATCTTTGTGTCATTCTGCCCTTAGGTATATTTTAGAGATCTCCGTAAAAAGTCTTGCGTGGATGTTGAAATTCGGACGCGCGATTTATGCAAAACCTGTCTCGCTATCGTCTCTACCATCACGGGATTCTGCTTATATTCAATTCTCCTGTTGTTGTTTTTCCCCGTGTTACGTCCGGGACCATTAAGGGTTACTCCAATACTGCCGGCTTTTAGCACACAACAAAATGTGTGTACGCCATATTCAAGCCTAGACCACCACGCGTCCCTAGGTCTAGCAGTCAAACACATTGCCTACCGCGCTATCACAAGGGCATATTCAACTACCGATTCTAGAAAAACTAGCGTTCTTGCAAGACTTTGAAACAATTGTTGGTATGTTATATAGTAGAGAAACACCCGTTGATTACCTCGAAAGTCATTGTATCCACCACCTCGTCCACCGTACTGAGGATAACCCCCTCTTTGATAGTGTCCAGCACCCCCGTAATTACCGCCTCCGCCGGTACCACCTCCGTAGCCTCCCCGACCTCCCCAGCCTCCAGAGCCGCCTCCCATTCCTCCCATCGGGCGCTGTGGTCGAGGCCAAGGAAGGCCAAGTTCCTAGAATATAGCAAGTAGAACGTTTTTGAAAAAAATATTTCGTCGCCAGTTGGTTAATTGAATCAAGCCTAATAAGGTCAACTATTATGCTATAATATACTGCTACTGTTGAACCACTTACTGTTGAATCAAGAGTGTTAAAAACATTTCCATAGTAATTAACCAGGTAGTAAATAAAAATGATACGCTGCGTTATCTCAGAAGTAACCGCCAACGTCAATATGGCTGATATCAATACATATTTAAGTCTGTCTTGAAAAATGTCATATTTCTATTACTTACCTTCGAAGCAGTTTCGTTGAATCGTGCCACCACTTTTCGGGCTTCTTCGAAAGGTAGCGCTACGTATTCTATTGAGCTAGAGCCACTGAAGTCACGCTCATTCGGAAGCTCAAAGTGGGCTGCAAATTCGATCATAAAACGGATTGCGTCATTAAACTCTTATTACCAGTTCAAGTTGGCAAATTAATTACAAAATACATATGGAATTGTATTTGTTTTTGCATATCTGCGTAATTCCTACGTAAACTCTGGACAAGTATATTTACCTCGAGAATGAAAAAAAAACCTGCTTTTAGGTTCACTATTCTTATTTAGTTTATCTTTTATGATATAAATGCGCCTTTACCTTTCATCTCGGTGACTGCGTTTTCAGGTAGAGGAAAGTTCGCTGCATCGTTTTCGCCTTCGACTGCCTTTCTTCTCTTCTCAAAGTCCTCCTCCGAAGGAACAACGACAACGAGCTTACGTCGAAAATTGTCAAACTGATGCCATTTTCGATTCTGAGCTGAGCTGTACACATTCGTCTGGTCGAGGATGTAGTTTCTAAGAGGAACACAGCGGAAAAAAATTAGACGTTTGAATACTATAGACTTCATACCTGAAGTATTAAATTTTGCTAGGTCATCTCATGGTACTAAACGGCTCCAGAGACTGCTTAGGACCTTCTGTGGTTTATCGAATACATGGCTCCGCGAGATTGGGAGACAATACTCACAGTGGGAATACTACAGCAAGATAAATAATCGTCATGAAACAACTAACCTATTGCGCCTGCTAGCGGCATCGATAAGCCTGGATACAGCAGTAACGGCTTTATCAGCGAGAGCCTTTAGCCACTTCTCTCGCGGACTCATAGCTTTAGGTGTTACATCCGGTTTCTTACTGCTGCCATCGAACGTTTCAGCGCTGGTCTCTTTTTTTACATCCTTGTCATTCTGTGCATCGTCATCTTCGCCCTTTTTCTTCTCACCGTCGCAGTCCTCTTTCGGATAATTTTTGTTTACGATTTGCAATTCCTTTTGGCTTTCGTTCGATTTATCGTCAGTGGTTTTTTTGTCTGACACTTCGCTAACGGTGGCTGGAAGTGGCGTCTTTTCGCTGTCGACGGTCGAAGCTGTTTCTTTCAATTTCGGTTGATTCTCCTTGTTGTCCCTCGTTATAGTCCCGGGCGGTTCCGTTTCTGGCGGTGGTGGGGGTGCACAGGCCAGCATACGTGCGAGAACGTCTTTAGTGCCGAGCACGTTATAGTGTCGTTCAGGATATTGGCGGATATGATTAGAGACCCAGTATGATTTGCCGGACGCAGGAAGTCCTACCATCAAAATGAACTGACACTCCCGTCGCTCAAACGGAGGCAGTGGAGCTCGTTCACGACCCGCCCAGTCTTCGCTCGTCTTCGTTGGGAAGACATAATCTTCGAAGCCGGGCAGTGGGTCGACTTCTAGCTGGCCAAGGTTGACCTCAAGCCTGACGTTCTTTGTCAGGACGGCAGGAAAAAGGGCTGCAGATATGGGCGGTGGCAAAGTGGGTCTATCTTCTTTTTTAATATCTTTCCCTACGTTTTTGTCCATTTTTTTTGCGACTACTTTCTCATCATCTTCATCAGGAGACGTTTTGTCCTCTGTCTTATCGCCACAGCCCTCTTCAAATTGGCCACCACCGGTGTCTTCGTCCATTTTCTCTATAGCGGCACTGTGTTCGTCTGATCTCGTTTCAGCGACAGCTTCCTGTTGCACGTCCATAGCTTCGTCAACCTTCTCATCGGTTTCTTCCGGGGCAGGCGATGGCGTGGTTTTTACTTCAATATCCACTTGTCCATCGATCAGCTTACCGTTCAGTGCAAACCGGAGCACCGCAGGCTTTGTGCTAAGGTCAAGCAATGCAGTAAAAATGTCACCAGCTTGAAGGGGCTCGACAACATCGTTTGGAATAAACTGACTGTAGCGTCCGCTCGAAGCAACCTGTCATATCAAAAAATCAATAGAAGGACTAAATCATCCTTCAGAAAATGCTGCCGCGTACTGTTTTAAGCCAGAATAAAAAAGAACGGGTATGACTTCCATTTACCTAGAAGAACACAGTGGCTAAATGATTAATGAAGATCTCATGTTATACACGTTCAAATGTGCATCACCCAAATTAACAACCAATTTCCAACCCCGCAGCAGTATTAAATAGTGTTTTGCTGTTGGCTATAGGTAATATTAACATCATCGTCATTACCTGACGATTCTCTCACCTGTCCATTAGAGCAATACGCCCATGAGTCCTCATCGTCGCCGAGTTTTGCGCTCTGTTTTATCAAGCGTCGAGCAAAGCCAAGCCGAACTGCGTGTAGTTTACGTTGGCGTGCTAATTCATCGGCTCGTTTTCTTGCATCGGCTTCAGCTTGAGCCGTCGGGTCTTTCTTGCCGTCACCTTCCGAGGACTCTAGTTTTTCTGAATCCTCTGTTTTCGGTACTGTGCCATTAAAGCCAACGTTTCTTGCCTTAAATTCTTCAGAAGACTCTTTTAAGGCATCTTTTTCAACATTATCTCTATCCAAATCCTTCGACTCGGCCTCTTCTGATTTTTTGGTGCCTTTATCGGATTTCTCTTTAAGATCTTTTTTTTGCTGACTCGGAACGGCTGCACGTCGCGCCTCGCCATATTCTTCAGAGACATCCATTAACTCGAGGATTTTGACATCAAACCTAACCCATATGAGCCCAAAGCAGATATAAATATCTGTTTTAATAGGTGAATCTGATACCCATATATGTGTATATATATGGTTGTCTGTTTTATTTGTATACGAATTTGATTTACCTTTTTTATATTTTTAGTCAGTGTTCCTTAAATTAACTGAGACAATTTAAATTTATTTCCAAAAGGTTAATTAAACAGTTTTTTTTTTAATTATGCAAAAAATACCAAATACTTAGTTAATCTAGTAATAATAGTGTTTAAATTGGATCACTTTGTTCTACAGGCTACCGAGAATAGGCGTCATTCAAAAGGCTCCAAATGATCATAGAAACCGACGACAACATTACCTGATCTTGCCATCGGTAAAACCGTGGCTGGCCTTTGCACCAGCGGGTAGCCAGGCAAATGCATCTCGGAAGTATGGCGTCACAGCCATTCCCCGGGAATCAATGTCGCAATTGAGATCAGCGGCATACTCGTCCAGGGTCACGGAGTTATTGAGCTTTCGAGCCCATTCGGCGCGTCGCTCTGCCCACGACTGGTAACCCGGAGCACTCACACTTGATGACTGCCCAGTCTTTGCGGTGCTCCCCGACCGAGCTCTATAGTACAACAATATAATAATAATGCATTTGCAAATGTATATGGTTTCGAATGTAGATGCCTTCCGAAAGTTTCAAATGACTGAACAACGTATGAAGGGAGAATGCTGGGAGCCGCAAATCTGATGCTACTTCGCCAGCATACATAAGACTGTGAAGTTCTGTGGCATAAATAAATTGAATTAGTTTGCAATAAGGCTCAATGTGGTACGTTCACTCGACTAACGATCTGAAAGGGCACTTACGCAATTTCTTCAGGTGCGGCGTCAGTGAAGCGGCTTTTGCGTTCTCGCTTCACTATGGGCTTATCTCCAGCATCTTTGCTCGCTCCTTCTTCATCCTTGCCTGAGCTTTTGTTCGTGTTTTCGCTAGCGTCCTTTTGCTCTTTATCACTGTTCGTTATGTCATTTCCATCTTGCTTACATAAGCGCTCGGTTACTTTGTCCTCGGACTTGTCACTACTACCAGTGTCATCGCCAACTAGACCAAGAAGACGATTCTCTTCCTCTTCGTTAAGGCCACCGCGAGCGATGACCTGATGGTCCATGGGCTCGTCATCTCGCTCGCCTGCACCAGAATCAGCCTCTGGCAGTCGACCGCCGAGCTGAGGACTATCACTATCCCCACTATTGCTGTATTTATTGTTGGTGTCTTTGTTACTGCTGGAACCACTGCTACTACTACTGTTTGAGTTCGTCGTGTCCGATCCGGACGTGGCCGAATCATCGTCGTGGTCTTTAATCTCATGACTAACTACGTCTGCCTCCTGCTCGGCCCCATCAGGCTGAAACAACATCGACATACGTCCCAATGAACATATATACCTTTATAACGTTAGCCCACTAGAAATACCCACTGTTGCTTCATGCAAAACAATAGTGAATATGGTTCAAAATCAGGATTCGCCATCATCATATATACATACGTTGCCTGACGGGAAACGTTTTTCGTGTTTTACGGTACTTAAACCGTTACGCATTACTTCAGGCAGCTGGTCCCCAGCAAAAAAAAGTGCGGCTACGCCCGGATTCGAACCTACACCACCACGCGCTTAAGTTAAACGAGCAAATTCGTTACTCACTGTGCTATCATGGGAAACTCTTCTACCGAAAGGTAACTATGTATGATTGTTATGGCGCACCCTAAATTGACACATGCTTTCTATTGTTGCAGCTGGAAAAAGATACGCGGACAACAGGCAACACCAGTAAACGCATAACGATACTTCAAGACAACGAAAGCGCACAAAAGAAAGCGGAGACGACAAAAACAAAACACGTTTGGTGGTAGAACTCGGCAAGACAATGAAGAAGAGCGTTGCTCTTGAAATTTAATGTAAAGACTCAATGTAGCGTTGCTATGCCTTCGCTAATTTTCTGCAAAAAGACCCAACGAAAAGATGCAGAAGAAAGGCAACACCGTGACCAGCGAGCTGTAGCAAACAGATGTTTCATAACAAAATAGAGCGATACACCATAACGAAAACACTAAAGAACTATTGCCCACGAAGAACGTCTAATATAAGAAAATATGAAAATAAATTGAGAAGAACAACGCAATTCATCCCAAAATGTATGCAAGATACGGATAAGCGAATCAATAGATAATAAAAGATGATTGAATCGATGTATGACAGTGATTTGTACGTTGAATGCTATGAATGAACTAGAAGAACACCAGGGGTGACTGGCTAACAACTGGTTTAGTGACTGACCCCTTCAAGAGCGACTGATAGATTTGCGGCAGACGTTGTTGAGTCGACTGGAAGATGTTCGCTGTGGTCGGGCGAGATCTCCGCCATCCCAATACCAACTAACTGCGCAGGCTCAGCGGTAGAAGGCACATCGCGTCCCCTTGAAGATGAGCGTGCTCTCTTTGGGATGCCAGACGAGTCGACTGCTGGCTCGCTCGACGATGCTCGACGCCGGCGAGCGCCGCGTCCAGTCCCGGATCCGGCCTCCTACATAACAGTATATGTTTGCAACACACGTAGACGCAATGCCCAGATAAAATCGACCTGGCTTTTGTTTCGTCTTTCAATCCGAATCATGATCGTAATCATTTAATTAAACTACCATTCAACACAAATATAGAGAGCGAAATTGAAAGCAAGCTAGTAAATCCTGGTTGGTTGTGCCGCCATTATAGTTCCGCTACATCAAAGTAAGCAACGCCCGGTAGTCTGACCTTTTCCCCACCCGCGAGCTATAAACCATTATGCCACCACCAATAGGAATGTAAATGGGAAAATCACTGGGTATCATCTGAAAGGGAATTGTGCTGTGTTCAGAGAAAGCGCTCACTGACAAGCGGCTAAATAATGAATAAAGACAGCAAAGATACAGAAGACTGTACAACGATTGTCTGTATGCCAACGTAAGTTCCGAAGTGAACTAGGAAACCAAACAAACCTTCCATTGGAAAAAAAACTTGTAAAGAAAGTTGCACGACATATCCTGCCATAAGAAGTTCCTTGTCTGGGTTCAGCTGTCAATCAGTTGCCAGTAAAAGCACTCTGCTGATCGAGGCTCAGGCGGTTGGACAAATTACTGCTCAATTCAACACATAAGAGATGCTGCTGTTGTTGGTGTTTGAGGAATTAGCGCCTGTGTAGTATTACTGATGAATAACCGCTAAATGGTATCTTGCAATAAAGCAAGAAGACTTAAGTGGAATAGGGGCCGTCTGCAGGGTGGTCTACTGTTTGATCTTGAGAAAATGAGCAATGAATTTTAAGTTGATCTTGTTGCATATTGTTGAACCTAGGCAGCTGAGCAGGTTACGATACCACACAAAACACTATTTTGGTAATACTTAGTAGTAGTAGTGGTAGTAGTAGTAGTGGTGGTAGTAGTAGTAGTAGTAGTAGTAGTAGTAGTAGTAGTAGTAGTAGTAGTAGTAGTAGTAGTAGTAGTAGTAGTAGTGGTAGTAGTAGTAGTAGTAGTAGTAGAGGAATCCGAAGCTGAGCATCATATACATATCATAAAAAACAATAACATAGTGAAGTAGATGACACCACACAGCACAAAACACCTGACACATGACTAAAGATGAGTAGGCCTGATCTATTAAATTTTCGGATCTGATTGCATGCGACTACAAGATATGTATTTACTGTGGCGGCAGCAACAAACACCCGGCAATAAACATGCACATGATCGCCACTATAATAATGAAACTACGAAGAAGAAAGTATCGCCAAATATGAATTCATACGGCAGAAGATGCCCCCTCGACGTCGGCGGGAGTACGGCTTGAAGCACGGCCTGAACGAGAACGACCCGACCCCGAGTCCTGCGCATGTCGATGCCATAACGCCACAAGCCGGTAAGACCCAACAGGTTCACGAGCAGAAGAGATGAAAGACAACCATAAAAATATGCTTATTAAAAATAAGTTTGACAAAAAGGGGCTACATGTAGTTAACGGGTACTTTGGCCAGTCACCCGTAAGAGTGTTCGTTAGATTCGCTGAAAAGTTCTACCTAGTTTGTTGGTTAAGTAGCTCACTTAGCTCTAATAATCTCACACTTCGAGTTCGTGATCCTGAGCAGTTGGGTGGGTAGTTCGATCGATCGTTCAATTTGTGTGAAGCCATGGCTGAAGTGATGGACGTAGACAAATCGTGGTCTCCGTATTTCTGATTTCGATTTCTCAGTTGTTAGCGGTACCCCTATTCGTATTAACACAATGAAATAGTAAACCGGCTAGTCTTTTCCTATTGACCCAACTTGCCCTTTGACGTTCGTTAATCAACCCAATCAAGCCCCGTGTAAACGCGAGACCACCCCCTGTGCTGTAACAAAGCCCCTCCCTTCAAGATATCAATATTGTTATCAATCAACATTCATCAATCGTTTATAAACCACTGGTAAAAGGGACACTTCTTCCATCGTCGATGAGCTGAAACAAGCTGAAAAATAACACGCGATATTTTGGGTGAAAATATCCTCATACTCTGAACATAGGAAAGATTCCTCACATAATGTAATAATATCTATGTGTTCTTCATGTTGATCAACTGACAGAGTGACTGACCCTGGCTGAAAGCGATTATCATTTCAGGTTGTTTCGTTTGGTAATTCGCAGTTACACAAGCGTGCAGTCTCTTTGTTAAACAGCCTTTCTCTTTGTTGTCCCTCATCTTGATGCATCTTGTCATCATCGCCGAAACCACACCACCGCCACTAGCACTTAAGACATCGTCACGTAAGCACATAAGTCTCTAGTTCTGTTCCCTGACTTCATACCGCCCGTTTACACCCCATCCCACTGTGACTCTGCAAGGCTGAATTTTCTTTTAGCTGTTTCATTTTTCTCTCTGGTGCTCGGTTCTGAACTCTGGCTGGTGGTGGGCCTGTAGGTACGTGGCTGATCTGTAGTAGTAGTAGTAGCTGTTGTCTAAACCAACAAACATCACTGTTGTTGAACGGTCAAGCAGTAGACGACACTTGCCCTCTGATCTCCATCGCATGCGTATGTTCCTGCTCCGATCTTGCACTTTCACCCGAGTTGACGCTGAGGCCGACCCTTGTCCACGGCCGGTTTGCGCGCCGTACGAGACACCACCAAATTGACGCGTCTGCTGGTGCTGGCACTCACGAACAGGTTCGGGAACAAGCTTCGATGCTGCACCGGGCTCGGCTAGGTCGAATATCGGTCGGCCCGTCGGTCCAACCTCAACACCGTGGCGTCGACCCTGAGCGGCAAACACCGGCAGCACAACTGCATTACCTCAGCCAGCAGAAGCGACATCGGATCCGTTGTAGTGGAAGTGGTGACCGTAGTTGACGAAGCCAAGCGGCCAGCAGTCAACCCGTGCAGCTGCTGCAATGGAAGCAAGGTAACACAAGGGCGCCTTGCCCGTTAAGCACCTGCCCCTTTCCCATCCCCAGCAGCGATTGCGCATTTTTGCTACTACAAGATACGCGCATCGCTATAATGATAGCGTAGCACTGAACGTCAAATTAGCGCCGCCCTGGACTGTCTCTTTGCGTACAGAACAGAAAGGTAGATCTTTTTTCCTTTACCCTTTGTTCGATACCACCCTACATTTTATCTCCCCCACTGTGTCAATTTCCAATTGTGACTAATTATCAAATTCCTTACCCATTATTTAGACCCAGTTATTAGCTATCTCTGAGTACCCATCTTGCTTTAACAATCTTTGCCAAACTCTAATAAATGATAACTTTCTATCCGAAGAATATCTTTTTCTCTATCTCACATGATATCGCGTACCCCCTACTAGAATGTTTCATTCAAAATTGACACCGAAGCTTGGAGAAACCATCAATTGACTTAATTCTTATGAAAGATACAAACCCGTCGCTGAAAATTCAGCTATCATCAAAAAACAGCGAACCAATATCAGCAACTCACTGTACCTGGCTAACTGAAAGTAAAATGGCCATTGATTTCTGAAATGCTCAACTCGACTTCAACCTACTATCGTTACTGATCTTCAATAGCAATAACATTAAAACTTATCATGACTCGGCACCGGGCATCAAGAGAAGAACGCACTTCATGGCCGGAAGTAACAACTTACATAATACGCGTATTTACTTTTTTCCAAAAAGACCTGAAGGAACTTTCCGCTTTTTTACAAAATGGCATAAACATGCAACGGTAAATTAGCCAATCAAAACATCCGCTAGAACTCTATCAAGAGGCTACTGCTTCAGTATAAAATTATTAATTGTTGAACAATAAACCTTATATAACATTCTCCTCACACAAGCTTTCACCGCCTATTTTGAATGAAGCTTTTCAATCGGCCCGCTTAATAGAGGTATTTTCGCATTTTTCCTCTCCCGCAACTCTTGCTAGTTTGTTTGGCATGTTTATATCCATATTTAAAACAATCGTCATTCAACAAACTTTGAGCACTAGGACTTACCGCTTGTCACTGTACACAACACTCATTCGTTTTCTCCTCTGAATATTGTATACTTTATTCAGACCATACTAAAGCGCAAAGAAAAATATATACTGCGATACTCACCTCAGTTTCAATGAGCTAAGAAATTTTGAATTGTTGATAACGAGAAAATTAATAATACTTATAACTCTGTTTAAGGACGCATTCATGTCTAAAATATTAGTGATCATATTTCAAATGATATCTGATTCTGCAGTGGGAAGGTGAGAAACTTCCATTGAGAGAACCGCTTCGATTCTTAATAATATGAGTACTCTACTAGATTACATTCCTTGTTCGAATTGCAACCAAAAAATAAAACAAAACTTAAAATGCAGTTGAACGCAAGTGCATACAAACGAATGTTTATCATTGGAATCACCTTTGTACACTATTGCTATATAATATCCTTTAAGCTATCTCATGTATAAGACGTACGTTTAACCTACAATCAAGAAAGTTGCCAAAAATACAGAGCACCAAAACCGCCTATTAATTGAAAATGAAGATATCTGTGAAATTTTTAATTCATCAGTAATATTTTAACGACGTTGAGCGCTCACACTACGAATGGACGTGGTTCACGACCTGCATAATACCTTTTCTTGTATCGACTCTATTATTCTGCGCGCATGATTTTCTACCTAATTTGTAAAAGCATACGTTATAGCGTTACTCTACCAACCGATGGGTGTAGATGTACCATCAATATAACATATATATACAGCATAATACAACATATGTATTATGCCATATATATGCAAAAAAATGACCTAAACGAACTCAGCACTTGCTATGGCATAAGGTTGTGATATTAACCTAGCGTAGCTGAAGGTCAATACGACAGGTAACACTAATGTGACACTTCGTAAAGAATAATCTATCATGGAAGCAATTTCCGTTTTTGTTAGAAATGAGAATGCGTATTGTAGAAAACCGTAGAGTATTTCATGCAGAATCCCATTAGATCATATACTTATCTACGTATTACATAATTTATGTTTTCGCATCTATACGACATAACTGAAATATCTGAGTAACAAGTGATATTCAACGACAGTTTATCATAAATAAGCAAATATAAATACAGATTGAGATATATATATATATATATATCAGTTCGTCACAATACTGAATAACCATGTAATTGTACTTTTCTCTATAATAAGAATTATATTGCTAGCAAAGAAACCTTTTACTTCGTAGATCAGCAGGGACATGTCTACCATTAGTTTGTCCAACTGCACCAGGTAAGACTTTTGATTCAATAGTACGAAGTAAAGATCCCCCCTCTGAAGGGGTCAAACAAGGGTATGCCGGAGTCCTACCGGTGGAGCGACCTATTTTGAATCCCACGCTGACTTTTAAATAATGCCTAATTCCAGCACAATAACCTATAATGAAAAACGTCTAGACGTAACACTTTTCCTGTGATGTTGTCACACAATTTTATAGGCATAACGAACCTTTTTTCAATTGCCCCCCTTTACAGGAAATCGAAAAGCAGGCACACTGTCTCCTTCGAGGTTTGTAGATCCGAAACTTTCCTAGTAGGATTGCAGAAAATAATATAAGTGCCAAATTTGTACGGCGCAGTCAGGTGTTTAAAGCTACATATATAAAATAGCCTGGTAGATGTCGAAACTAAATTTCATGGCAAGTGAATTCCTCATTTGTTGACGACTGTAACACGTGTACTATCTGATATCTGTTTGGCCTGACATACAAGCTTTATCAAATGAAGGCAGTGTTATCCCGAAGATTGTCTTCTACAGGTGCTGGAATTGTGACGTCCTGAATCTCAGCAGTCAGCTCAATTATATATACAGTTTCACGAAATCACGGTAGATATCTGGTTATAAACAGGTCGGAGTACGTTCTCTAATAAAAAAAATTCAAATCGTTTTATGTATTGGTGTAGTATACCCGAAATATAATGAAGAGGTTCCAGTCCGCAAGTTACACTTTAAATCAATGAATATTATATGGCACGTCCATAAAACACTTTGCTCTCTTTGAATTCAAAATATATACTACAAAATCGACTAAAACTACTGCAGTGTAGAATACAGCCATCAAAAGTGTGTGCTACTACGCTTGCAACAAATTAATACAGACTGTCTAATATTTAGTCCGACATTTCACCACAACGAAATCGGGTAGCCCATTATGGTTTTCTGGTTAGGGGCATCTTTACACCAGTTACCTATATTGTTAAAGCCAAGTCGAAAGAATACATACCACAAAAAATTATAAATTCAAATCATCACCGTTGCTTCCCTGCAACAACACTCTGTGAAGTGCTAACATCTACGAACACAGCACATTTTCAAATCTAGTCGTAACGTCATACTCCTTTCTTTGAATTTTGCTTATAACAGACAGTTCACCAACAAATAAGCTGTCAAGACACATAGGTTGTTAATGAAGTGTTTCGGTTTTAGTACTATAGTCAATGTATTGCATCACTGTTGGATGCTACAAGTATCAACAACGTTTTGACTGCAAGGCTTCAACGGTTAATGAAAAGTCATGCAGAAAATATCTCCGTTGACGACAGTAAGCAATACACATTAATTAGTAGTCGCGTAAATAAGTATTGTGCTGTGTCGTAGGGGAGTTGATGGTAAAATTTCGAATATAGCATAGTGAGTCCACAAATAATTTCGGAAGCACATGACTACAAAATTTGTACTAATAACTGGATTAACACCGTCAAATACGCCAACGTCCCTCTCTCTATACGGATCACATGATTGATAGCAAATGTTTGTGAAGTTCTACTGTCTAAACTTTGTGAAATCTGTTGTAGTTGCAGGTTCTTTCATGCCTTCTAAACAGCTAGATCTTAGCAGCAGCAGCAGCAGCAGCAGCAGCAGTAGGGTGCATTTCCTTCTTGACATTACACTTATTGCCAATAGCTGTCGTATGAACCTACATAAGGACGCGTATTATCAAGAAACGGCTAATATATTACTATTAACAACTAAATACTCCGTCTCAGATAAATGCCGAACCATAGGTTTTTGCATGCGCCAGTTGAGGCTTCCATCGAGAAGTCATCCCTCCAGTGGACTGGCGCGCTTTCTCTCTCTCAGTGCGCGGGGAGGGAAAAGAACAGAGTCATTGCCTTATGGTTAGTGAATTTCATTTGTTCGTATGAATTGGCAATGCAATCCGAATGAGCCTTTGTTTGCAACGCATAGTTATTTCTTTCATGTATACCATCGTCGTTGCACATAGGTGTATATATATATAGAGAGAGAGAATTAGAATAATGTATAATTACTTGCCTATAATTTGTTTATACCAGCGCTTGCTTATCATCAATATGATCTATCTATTTATTTATTTAATCTTCATCTCACATACCTATCGTTTTTATTAAGAGATAAATACACTCTTAAGCTTTCATATATAGTAGTTCCGTATATGAAGCCGCATACAAATAAATCTTTTTGTGTACTAAATTATGCATTATAATATATAAAAATACACCTGTTACCAATAAATATCCAGTTGTACTAAATACCATCGACCTAACTGACAAATTCTAAGCTATATAATCAAATCTAGAACCGATTTTAGTACTACCTAACACCGACCAGCACATGTCACAGGGCTATATTGCATTCTAACATTTCTCGTCATTTTTCCTTTCGATAGCTCTTAATATTTACGAGCCACTTGTAGGCTACATTACTATAGCAATAGTTTTTGAAATCGTGCTATTTATATAGAGGTGCAGGTCGCGAAAGTGGACTTGTATTGCTATAGGCGAACGGTTACCTGTGAATTGTTGTTGTCGCCAACGCCGGCTGAATGACTACTGTCTCCTGATGATGAGGAAGTCTCTGTAAAGCAGTTACCAAACCCCAAAAAACAGGAATTAGCAATAAAGCGATAGCGGCTGGAAATCAATAACAACTGGTATAAAGCAAAAACTCCTAACAGATATCATCGATCAACTGACTGAAGTTAAAATCTAAAATGGGAAATAATGTTAATGAAATAAAAATTCAATTACGCGGCTCATTAGGTCACAGCACCTTTTCAGTGAGTAGAGCCCACAAGTTCATTTTTTAATAAAACACGATTCTTCCCTATATTAATAATCTCATAGTATTTCAGAAACACATGAATATAATACAAAAGGTACACTTTCCTCTAGCTTTTTTTTTATCATTAGCAAATTCCTTATGAACGGTTCGGTGGCATTTTTATTGTAGATCACTCAGTAATTTACACCTTATCCAACACGTCCACACAAGTACCAGGGGACAAAACATTGAAAAAGCGTATATAAGAAAATACTTTATGTTCCTCGAATACCTATATTATAAATGAACTTACTACAAAGTGTTATTATAAAATCCATATTCCGTCGGACTTCATAAAACTTAATAATAATGAATCTAAAAACCAGCAGAACGTAGCGACCGAAATCAACAATCTAATTTAAGTATATTTATTAAACGCAAAAATTGGGCAAATGACACTGTTGTAGATTTTTTTACCACCCAGCCTAACGTTACCCCTGTGAGAATTATAATCTAGGCATGCTCCATTAGGAACATATGGACAATTATGAAGAACATCAAATTAGCTTTTTCATAGAGAAGTTTTTCCAAGCGAAGCTACACACAGATACAGAAAGCGGAGCAGATAAATACCAACTCTTTCCTACAAGTAGAGCAAACATATGATTAGCGCAAATTCTATTCAGTATTTACAGAGATGATCGAGTGGAATGGCGCGATACTCACTGTCGTTAGTATCCTCTTCATCTCTCTCATCGTGTACGTGTTCGGCAGCAGTGTCGTCCCGCTGCTGCTGTTGTGCGGACAACGCTTCGGCTAAACGCTTTACCAAAACTTGCTTCACACCACTTTTGTCAAGGCCCAAGGCCCCAAGCCGATCCTTGAGCTTCACCACTGTCAGCTTATTTAGCTCTTCCTCCATGGCGTCGTCGTATGCCAGTAGGCGAGTGCGTGTTCGCCACTGGGACGGCTTTTACTGCAACAGAACGGATATGACAACGGCAGCCGTGTCGCTACTGCTGTTCACTGCTTCGGTTGAAAGTCGCGATCGTTGCCACCAGCAAAACAAGTTATTAGTTCTGAGACGCGTTTGCCTTAGCCAATTGTAGGGGGCGCGAGATCGCCAGCGCAGAACTTTATCGGCAATTGATTACCTACGAATCACCAAATCTGGACAGACGCGAATAAATATGAGTACATATACGTCTCTTAGTAACTTTAAATATTTTTGTCGTTGTTTTTGGTAATTCTTTGTTTGGTTGCTCTTTATTCAATCACACCTCTCATGTAACGTATGTTATTGGCAAACTTGAAATGGCTGTCCTGGCTTTTTCAACTTAAGCTTCAGCCGTCCAAATCGCCGCGCCAATTCGAGTATAGTGTGCTTATAAGTACAGACAGGATTTTTCACACATAAAAATGCAGGTGGTTTCGCCTACTGCTTGCGAGCGGCCTGCCTTCGCGTTCACTGTCGAACACATACAAATCAGACCCGGCAAATGCCAACTTTTAACGGTAAAGGATACTGCATCCTCAACTTGGATCCGATTGGCCAGGCCGGTTAGCTACGAATCACTAACGACCCGTTCGCCGCCATCGTTAACACTGCGCTAAGTCGAATATTAACGCAGTCTTACACATGCTCACATACTTTACGCTAGTTTCTCGCGGCGTAGGCAAGCGGGAATATCCGACAACGTATCAACTAACTGAACACATATTCACTGGACGAATAGATCACACAGAGGTCTGGGAGTCTATAGCCACGCATTGAATTGGTATGTATAAAAGCCAGTGTGCGTGATTCTCGCGGCGAGAGCCGACTCGCTGGGTCTCATATTGAGTATCGAGTAACAACTAGCAAGACTGAAAAAGCAGGATCCGCTCTAACATTAGCAATCACAAACAAGTATATAGAAATAGATAGCTTACGACCGACAAATACAAATGTTTGTTAGCGCAGATAAAGATGCTGGGTACGATAGAAGACAACATATTACGTACGGTCACGCTGGTAAGCGATTATTAGGCAAGAAGGTTTTGCGAACAGCTTTTTTGCGCTGAAGTCGCCCGTCACCGGTTGTACACACGGCGAAAAGAAAATTTCATCGCCAACGTAAAGACACCCAAACACCGAACAGTTTATTGCACGATGATATGACACGGATCGCCACCGCGAAGGCTACACAACGCCTAGTTGGCCAGCATCGAAAAGTGGTGCAGTAGGCAGTAAAGCGATCATAAGCGCAAAATCTCGTCAGGTTTGCCGACTCCGACGATTAGGGCCCAGACCAATCTGCAATCGTAGCTTGTCCTTAATCGTGTGCTACAGGCGAAGTGTGACGTCGTGTAACGTAAATACAGGTTGAAGTAACATTAGTAGATAATAATGGCAAGCGATCGTTGGAATACGCGATGATATCCGTACCTACCACGGGGACGGCGGGCAATATCCGCCGTGAACTCAGCAACAACACTAATAGCGTTGCCACTAGCACACCTCCACACCAGACACACAATTTGCAGCGGCAGTTTGTATTGTAACGAACGCATCAACACTCAAATAATTAACAAGACAACTAAAACACAATTGGTGGCTGACGGCTGTCGTCTGCTCGGCGGAGTGATTTACGCGTGAAAAGGTTTTGAACCGGCGGCGCCGTAGTTAGTGGGAAGACACGAGCTTTTGCGAGCCAATACTACCGCGGGGAGAGTAGCACGAGCAACTAGTTGCGTGGTTAAGTATAAGAATGAAGCGCTTTGGCGTGCCGGGATATTTAAATAGGATTTGGCAAAATGTTTGTAATTCTCGTATAATCCTGTGCCTTTTTGTACCTTATACATCGATACAGAAAAGTATCCCTCCGGCTATAAAAATGCATGCAAACTGTCGCGATCAACTGACAGCTTTTTGCGGAAATATTTTAACTCTATTCTGCTATTTTAATACACTGCTGAAATTACACAGATTAAGATATAAATGTTTCGAGTTCTGGATGCGCTATTCAAGCCATTATGCATTACTTCAAACGGCTGGCTCTCAGCATTGAACAAAGTACATCTATAGGCGGTCTTGAAACTAGACCACTACGTGCCTTTGAAACTAGTAAGCAAAAGTATTACCATCGCAGCATGACGGGAATATGATATTAATCGTTTTCTGACGCTTTAAAATTACTGCCACGGTTTCAGGTAGCTATCATCCTCTGTAATAATAGAACCATTGCAAATACAAAATTTGCTACATCAAAATCTTGAGCTAATCACAACAGTTGGACTATATAGGATAATGCAACGTTACTTTTCTTTTATTAAGGGCAAAACTGACTGCAGTCTACATTGAAACGTTGGAACTGGCTCCTGTGAGTTGAGGACGAAAGAAAACTGAGCCTGATTTTTGGACCTTACATTTTCTTAAACAATCTCACTTAAATCACACAAAAAGTGTATTCTAGCATTTGAAAAAGCCAGTCCGAATGATTCGTTTAGTTGGGTAAGAGAAAGTTACAACTAAGAAACCTTAATTCAGACAATAAAGTTCTGTAACTAAAATAGCGAAGTTAGCCCGCTTTCAGATGACTCCTTTGATGAGCATAGTGACCATATTGATGTAACATTTAATCTGTGAATTAAGAAAACATTAAATATAGTTTCGAGTTGTAAATGCGATGAGGGACAACTTAAAGCTACTTAATATATATGATTGGCGCTTTAAAAAAAGGTCTAGATTTTTGTGTGAGGCACTTGTGGAAGAAAATTTTACGAGGAGTGTGTATTATATGTACCAAGAAACTACAAACGAGCTATAGTTCGTTGAACTTCTGGAACTTTAGATATTTGGCCATTTCTTGCTACTTAGAGGCAAGGCCTTGAATTTTACTATCTCTACTAAACTCGGATTGTGGAAGAGGCCGTGAATGACGAAACAGGTGGTAAGGTGACGATTTGTCGGGTTCGACTCCTTCCAGCCAAACTTCGTCAAACTATTATGTACGTATGTCTGCTTCGGCGCATTGCTGCTCCTATTTACTGAGACATTCGGAAGAGGCATTAAGTGCCAAAGTCAAAAGCGAGTTCTCAGATCTTAGGTGAGCAACAGAGCCTCGGCAAGGATTTAATCTACTTCCTTTCTAGCCGTACGGTGAAGGCTTAGAGTACTCCAAGGTGAGCCCGTAAGCCACTATAAACCACCTTCAGGTCAAGAAGGCAGTACGCGGTCGCGATGGAGAGGCGGTTTTAGGTCCTAACAGCAATCGTACAAGACAGTCAACGTTTTTGTAGATCTCTCTGATGTACAAAATGGAACCCTGGCCATTAAAACAGATCACTAGGCCGATATATGGGAATTCGGTGATGTATCACAGCGGAGACCCGGCGAGAAACAGTGTATTACAAACCACGATCTTACCTCCTTTCCTAAATTTTACGGCCTTTTATTCAGACCTAGCCTAGACTTGGTGCAGTTGAAATCTGTTAGAGCCATAAATGATTAAGTCAATTGCATACAGGATAACTTTAACCAAGCTTTTTTCAGCCGTTTTTCTGTTATGAATATTCCTAAGTATTGGGAGCAGAAAGAAATTCAGACTACTATGTTAGGTCAGGTTTGTAGTCTGAGATAAGAAAGCTTCGCCTTTTTGCTGTCTTTGTTGATCTTGCTCTCTTGCAGACTTGCAGCTGGTAAACTAAGGATATTCTATGGGGCATCCATGTACGTCAGAACCATATCTCCAAGTGCAGAATGGAATGCGGCCCTGAAGTCAACAAGCACTGTATACAAGAGGCTCGCTGAGTTGTTGAGATCCTTTCGAATGTAGGCCATCAGGATCTTGTATGATGTTTCCATCGAACGTTCTCTCTAAAACTTGTGTTGCCCCTGAGGGGTAACTGGTGTGCTTAAAGATTTTGCAAGCTATCTTCCATTTTCTCCTAAATTCGCGCTTGACAATGGATAATTTGTGAGCGATTTTAAGGCTCTCTTGGAATCGCAGTTTAAAGTCTTTAAATCTTTTCGAATCACAGTTTATCGTTTGCCTCAAAAATAGCTGCCGTGGGTGTATAATGCTTATGCCTGTGGCGGTTATTTTAGCTGAAAAAGCATTGACCTGCTTGGTCCGCATGATCTACCGATTTGTAATTGACGCTGTGTTATTGTTAGCTTTTTTCATATGTCATCGTGGTTTTAACAGGGCGAAATATGCATTTGGCGCAATCTCTGCTATTTGTTACTCTCCGCTGAATCATCCAAAGTTAAAGACTGCGCACCGAACTTCACTATACTTGGATTTTGGCAATACCAAAATGACGCAATTCTGCAAACTGGCACCAAATCAGCCATTAAAAACTCTGCCAACGTTATTTTTATACTCACCGTTTTATCGGGTTTCTGGAAGCGAGTTCCAGTAATTTTGGAGTCTTGATTATTTCTTATTTGCTTTGACGCTAAGCCCGTAGACAATCTTTATCTACCCATTTGTACCGTCCAGTACTTAAGATGAGCTTTATGTTCATTTGGTTCTAACTCAGGGAAGCTGATAGTAGCTGTTGGCTGCAAAATAGTGCTGGGTCTTCGCTTTTCTTCTTAATTAGTATATATCTTTTGACTTCTTGGGGCGATCCATATGTACGAAAATATACAGTATTTGATGTTATATTTGAATGATAACAAAAAGATGGCTTGTGTGTTCTAATTTAGTAGTAGAGAGAGCAGAGATTTGAAGTAAGAATCTATTACTGAGGTGAAACAGCTTCCTTAAAGTCACATCATTAATTTCTGCGGTTCATTTTTAACAGGTAGTGCTTTTTGATTATCTTTTCAGTGTCATTGGTGTGATTTGCTGAGTCCCTTTCAATAAAAAAACAGTTGCTCGTCAATCACCATCTGATTATTTGTATGACAAAATAACATATTTGCCATATAGAGAAGCACATGTGCCGAGTAATAAATCAAATGGCACTTCGTCTTGATCTGGTGTAATAGTATCTTTAAAGGTTTTAATCGCCTTTTCGGACCCATTAGCCTCTAAGGTATTTTTTTTGCTCTTTAATAACTGATAAAATGGCCTCGGCCTCATCATGAATTGAAATTTAGCATAGATTTTAGTCATTAGGACTGTCTGCTTTGCTGAGAAAGAATCGCGTTCTGTTACTGTTCTTTGCTATCATAATAATTTGCCAACGTACGCAGCGGGTAACAACAGCATCGATAGCCTTTTTGTCAATTGAATAGTAAGTATCATGTCTGCATCTGTTTGAGTTCAAAACGTCTGTGGCACCGCTAAATCTAGAAGCAACATTTTAATTAAATCCCGGTAAGCCGGTTAGTATAACTGCACATATCTGCTTCTTCATGCTTACTATCCATCACGATGATATGTCCTTTTGTAGCCAGAAAGCAGACTTAGGCATATGTACAAATATTTGTGTTCCAGGTAAGTTAATCGTTACTGCGGTATTCACAACACCGAAATAATGTAGAGGATTCCTTCCCTTTTTATCTTTTCGATGCTGCTACCTTGTTATAATAACTATGATTTTGTAGTTCAATAAAAAAAAACACAAAGACAGCATCTACCGTCTAAAATTGCCTTGCCATGCTCTGAAACGAAACAAAGTTCTCCAGGGAACTTACTATAATTTGGTCGAGTATCAAATCACTGTGTATGCTGATAGAAACACGCTAGTAAGTATAAATAGTGGTAGGCACGCTTCTCGTAAATGGCCCAATCGTGACTCGACAGAAGACATCATTCAGTTTTTGTTGTAAGCCACTTCGATTAAAAGTCACAAAACTAATCTAACAACCTTCTAATTTCGCGTGCTTAGCAACGCAAAAATTATGCGGTGCGACGTCACCTTCAAACGCGCCGATTGTGGATTTCAGATGCAGTCTCTATGCCTAATAATAGCAAACATACAACGAAAATAGCTATGTTATATAGTAATGGCGACCGTATCTGTTAGATCCAACCTGGAGCATGATTGAAGAAAAAAATTCGAATTACGTGTTTTCTCTATGTTTCTAAAATTGCATAGCGAATATTATACTAAGAGAATGTCATCTCAATCAATTGATGAGATTTACCAGCTGCGACACTTTCGACAAGAGGCACACTTGAGTTTTTCCAGTGGAATGTATTTTGGCATTTATCATCTCGGTGTACTACAGGCTATCAAAGATTTCGCCCCACAGTTTACCAAACGCAGGGCTTTGGGGTCGTCAGCCGGAGCTCTAGCAGCTAGCTGCCTCGTATGTGACGTGCCTCTTCAGAAAGCGATTGATGCTGTCACGAAAATGGCGGTTCATTGCAGAAGCCTGATGTTCGGCGCACTGGATCCGCGCTTCAATATCTCGCAAATTCTGCGTTCGGAACTTTACGCAATTCTGTCTCCCGATGCGCATATTCGAGCCAATAATAAACTATTTATAGCTGTAACTCGCGCGTCTACCCTAAAACACAAGTTGGTGAGTAATTTCGACAGCCTGGATGAGCTTATTGACACGCTCATGGCCTCTTGTTTTATACCTTTTTTCCTTGGCCTTGTCCCTCCGAAGATAAAGGGAGTCAGTTATATTGATGGCGGTACTTCGTGTCGGATACCCATTCTTAACGAATGTACAATTACCGTCTCGCCGATTCGGTGGCGTCGTGCTATCATAAAACCTCGAAAAGATCTAAACAACATGCTGGGACTAAATTTTACGGCCTACATGCGTCGAATCGTAAGAATGGTCTTTGCACCTTCTCCATCAGAGCTTATCGATTTATGTCGGCAGGGCTATGATGACACGGTCTATTTTCTACGAACAAATAAGCTTATCTTATGTCATGAGTGTTGGGATGAAGAAAATCGGGATGAGAATGCCCACATGTCTACTGCACAGCCGCACCCTATTGAAAAACTGCAAGATTGCGCTCAGTGTCAGAAGCTCAGAACTGTATCGATGCTCGCAAAATTTCCGAGCATATACTACCGCTCAGTTGCGGAGGCGGAAGAAAATGAGCAACGTTTACAACGTCGAGTGAACATATTGGCATTTGTATTAAGAAATGTTAGATACGTGGCATTATCTCTATTGTTGATAGCTTTAGCTTTCTATTGCAAAGTGTTCGTTTCTCATATTATTGCCTAAAGCTGATAAGTAAGTGCTAATCATGAAACGCGAAAAATTAGGTGTGTATATCTATCCACACGGGAAGCATTCTTATTATATAGCACATAGTCCGAACGTGCAGCTATTTGTAAGCATAAAATTCACTTATTAATGCCGCTTTGTCCATATGTGTTATGCGCGCATTTTGTAGTGTGCTCTATCTAACACACTGATATGGTTTACCTATTGTTCTAAAATAAAATAACCAGATTTAAAAGGCTGACCATTAATAACGCCGATTTCATTCCCTTTTGTTTCATAGGTATCCGCTTTTCTCTGCTTTTCGTAGTGGATGTATCGTACTAAGCGAATTTTGGTTGGTCGCCCTCTGTATTAATCGAAGGTTTCCAGAAATAGGTTCATTATGATCGAAGTGTATGTGAACCAATGAACTCATTAAAAACTTATCATGATTTATTATATATCGTGTAGTTCTATGCCCTTTGTGGATATGTGGCAGAGTATGAAAAGAACAATGTGATCTTTATTCGCACAACATTCGCAGGAATGAAGTGTTTTTTTTTAACCAAATATCTTTTACTTTACATGTAGTGCATATTAGTTAGAGTATATAGTGCTTCTATAGTTTACGTGCGCTATATTAGGTGTCCTATCTATGTCATGTCCAACCTACTCCCAAAACAAATTCCTAAAGTTCTATAAAGGTTTGCCCTTATCGTTGCAGACACAGCATGTTTGTTGTTTTGGGAATGTTAGAATCGCCCTCAGTTTTCTAACAAAGCAAAAAAATGCTTCCATACGTTTTACTCTGAAAAAAACCCGCCTACACACAAATTCGCGTGGCCTTTGTACCAGGAAAACATCCGAACGAGCAACATAGCGACGGTACGCTGTACTTTCTATCGGAGCCATGACTTGTAATTGAACAGTAAATTTTCACATATTTAAAGTCTTCGAAGACGATTTCCAATTGTGGATAATATATGGCTATAAGAAACACCTGTGGAAGCTCGAAAACAAGAAGTCAAGCTAGTAGACTCTCACTTTGCCATGGGCCTAAGTAGTATATGCTTATGATAAATTTCAGCATCGACGGTACTCGCACGTTGATGGGTTAAGATATTCTGTCGATCAGGGCAAAAGAGAGAGAGAGGTTCAGCCGTAATTGTTTCCAGCAGCAATGGTGGGGAGCGCTAATGGGAGTTTTACGGGATCGCATGTGCATTAGAATTACATTAAAAACGTGCGTATCGGCATGTATATTTAAACTCTGGAGAGTACGGCTAATAAACCAAGATGTCTTAGATTGTAATGAAAATACGTGGTAAAGATTCTCACATTTTACATACTTTACATAATACAACTATATCATTTGTGTACAATAATCACATTTCCATTATGAGTCTTTTAAGTGTACGTTGAGTGTGTTTATCTTTTAATTCACAAAAAAAGGTTTTCGAAATTTTGCCCGCATCCTTGAACGATCGCTTGATTGAAATAATAATTATCAGTTGCGTCATAATAATTTCGTTGGTTACATATATTTATCCAGATAATATTAAAGATATTAGATTAAAACATACGAACATACAGCATTCAAATCCTAGGTATTATGTGTAACCTTAAAATGATCCTATTTGGTTACATAAACTGGCATACAATTTATAGCATAAAAGAATATAACGTTTAGAAATGCAGTCACCGCCAAGTTCATGATACCCCTGCCATCCACACCACAGATAATTGAATTTATGAACTGCAATTCTTATTACAACACGGAGATTTGTCCTATTTGAGCACCTACATTCCAATTTGTTATTTAGGGTGTCAAGAGAAATAACGAGACAATCTTGACTATATTCTATTCGTGATTCGCAATAAGTGCGGCTTAATACTTGGAAGGCAAATCATTCCTCGTGCTCTTTAACGACCTAGGTTTCTGTCAAGAATGGAGACTTAGATATACTCGAAAATTAATCCAACTTTACTTTTTCTTATTAGCATCGTATTTTTTCTCTTTTATTAAGTCTTTCTTTTTATAACTGATGTGTAGTTATTCAAGCATTTAAATGCTACAGAGGAACTTCAGTCCGCTTTTACGGGTTTTCCTCTGATTACTTGTTAATAGGTAAAAGTGCTCATCGAAACGTTCAGTAGACCAATGTTGTTGTCCTCATTTATTTCGAACTCTGACTAATGAATAAAATCTTGCAAATACAATTTTCTAGAAAAAAGGTTTTTGAAAACCTTTAAAAAGTAACATTTGTTTGGAATTAATTGAAATAGGTTTTTTTTGAGCAAGCAATGTTGGACAGCTTTTAACAAAGGATATCTTAGAAAAAAGCATCCATTCGCAATGAGCAGACGATGCTGTCAACTCTGTGTACGGATTCTCTACTCTCCTCCACTGGTCGGCGTAATGGGTATGTATATTCGTTTACGTAGGCCCTGTTAGTTGGACAGGTATATGTTTGAAAAATGATTAACTAATGAATTATACAAACGTCATCCTCGATCGAAACCGTACGTGTCCAAATACAAGAATTAGAAAAGCACTGTTTTTTGGCCGGTTAAATGGGCTTTTGGCGTAGAACATCGAGCCTAGGGTCAGAAATCCTATTTTTCTTCAAAACTCTATGGCCTCTGGGCAACTGAAACTTTAAACGGCGCACTTATGCAAGGGCTTAATCTGGTGTTGCGACTACAGCTGGGGTTCGCCTGGGAGCTGTTATCGAATGCATAAGGACGTAGCAGTAGTGAGAACGAGGGCAGTCCCCGTTGTTACCATTAACAAGATTAGGATGCGCAAACGTCTCGAACAGTGTGCTTCATATTGAAGGGCGCGATATATTTCATTGTTTTTGGAGGAACATCATGGAACGTTATGCACTCATTCTTGCATTGGAGTCGACCAAAAGTTATGGTCTATCAGCTGCTGTTGAATTGTTGAGTGTCTAAGGTATCCGGTATGATTAATATGCATAGGAACGAAAGAATCTCGCGATCAGCGAAATGATTCCGACCGCCAGCAGGTAAGCAATTTAAATTTTCTGAGTCTGATTCTACCATAGCCACTACTCAGCCGCATTCATGTTTATCATGTCTTATTCTATAAATGGTATTCAAAGTTATAGCTGTTCTCTATGAACAGAATACAGGTCTACAGTAGATAGTATTCGAGCATAAGATTAGTGTTGACCCTTAATGAAGTAAAAACTCAGCGTCCAACGATTCACTACTGCAATGAGGGCTTATTAGGCACGGCCTAATAGACGTTACATTAGTAGGCAGATGAAAACATGACAAGATGTTCGCACTTGGCATACCCACTGAGGCGTGGCTGGGGCTGCATGCAATTATCCTGCACCGTTTTATGTGGGACATAAAGTATTTGAACCCTTTTATTCCAGAATACATCACAGTTATTGTAGATTATCTAAATGGCTGCCTTCAGATGTTGAAAGCTTGAGGGGAATGTTTCGCATTAACGAGACTCTCTGCGAGAGCGATCGGCCGTGTCCCTTCGCTGGATCGCTGTGTGATATCAACCTCAAGAGGTATATTGTCTCTATTTGGAGTGTTTTGCGCTGTTTTTTTTTCTATATATTGGTCAAAAATATAGACAGATAGTTAGTTAATTCTAAACGGAACCCCAAGCAATCTGTTTCGTGTCCAGGCGGGCTTATGGGAATTATCATTCTGGTACTCTCCTGTCATATAACAGCCAAATGGAAATATTTATCGGTGTGGTGATTGGAAAACTGAGATGATAGATGTAACCAATCAGCAGCTGTTGGAAAACTGAGATGATAGATGAAACCAATCAGCAGCTGTCTTCAGTCTTGACTGTCGTGATATGTACATATATGTACATATCCATACCATTTACTTATATGCACTCAACATATAGTACGCATGTCCCGTACATATGTATGCCTCCCATTGAAATGATAAACTGATTATATATTCCATAAAACATTCATAGGGGTTATGCGTGCCATCTATTCTACTCTGTTTAGTTACATGAAGCTACTTCTTTCTTATATTCATTCGCTCTCCCTTTCTGCTAAAGATGTATATGTGCTCTCTCGCATGTGTACAATCATGGATCGGATTCTTGCGAGCCAACGTGCGTCGGAGGCCCGTGTGGCTCTGGAGATAATCGAGATGGTGGTAGTCACGGACTGAGCGGCTCGACACGTGACGGTGCTTCAAATTTTCCTGATCTAGGTAGCGGCGGCGGCATAGGACCGTGGCCAGTATCAGCCGCCCATATTGCAGCAATGTTTGCTGCCTGCGTACTCATTTTAGCCGTTTGCCACCTCGTTATCAGACTGTACATGCGTCGACGAGAGGCTGCATTTCTTCGAAACCACAATCGGGTAACAATTTAGTTTGTTGGTGCTGTGCTCAAATGTCGTGCTGATATTAAACCTACACACTGCTATTGAATTATTTTTCCGTCCTGCTTTTGAATATACATATTATGAAGTTGAAAGGAAATTAATTTTATTTTACTTTATTTTAGTCGTATCTGGAATCCCTAGTCGTTCGTGGGGCGATGGTCTCATCTGGCGGTGGACCTGAAGGACCCGTCATAGCCGGGGCTGCACCGAATTTCAACTATGAGGATCTTGACGCGGCCGTAGCTTGCGTTTTGCGACCACCTGGTTATTTGGAGGCCACTAGAACCAACGTGTGAGACGTATGGGTAGTCAAATGAATAATAAAGTAAATCATTCAATGTTTTTCTTCTCTGCTGTTCTGGAAAAAAATATTACAAATATCTAATATTCTATCAAATCTAGTACTTTAAAAAAATTTGCGACGCATTGAATTGGCTAATGTGCCGTAATTCGCACTTCACCGAATTCCTTGGAAATTGCAAATGTTGAAATCCTCTAATGACTTAGAGAACAGCAACATAATTTGAAACAGATGGATTGCAATGATAGTTCCGATCACGTCCAAGGGTGTAACGGAAGCTACCTAGAATATTTCCAGGACGCTCTGATGGAATCTAACCGCATTTGCGATAAATCACAAACGATTATGAAAACAGGCTATATTTTCCTAACGTGCACCCAATGCGCCATAATTGAAGCGCTAGGCTTGTGCGAACAGTTTCTTTCAGTATCAGGCGAGAGTAGGTAAGTTCCTCCTTATTAATCATTTCTCTTCCGTAGGATAAAATCCACTAATCACTAAGTTAAGAAACCAGGAGATCAGATGGTATGCTCAATTTCATTAAATACTGAGATTAGTGGCCTAATTGGCATGGCAGTCATACCAGACGTTCAACGCTGGATTATACACGATTTTGGGCAAAGAAAAGCTAAAGTTCTAAAATTTTGAACCATATGAACGTCAAAAGCACAGCAGTGTTTGCTAAATTCTTTAGCAATGACGGAAGCATTGTTGTCCATGGCATTGTCCTGTAATGGAAATCGCAAGTTCAGAGGGTAAACTGCTCGATATAGACCCCAAGACAAACATTTCTCAGACAGAATCGCAAAAATCAAGAAGATAATTCATAACATAGACAAAAGGCTTTAATCGAAAAAAAATACTAACAAGAGTTGCCTATACCTGAGGACTGACAATAACAAAACTCTTGCTACTTGTCCTTTACTATGCTTTTTGCTGAGTTCACCGGTTGTCTGTTTCTCTCAACGAACCTTACTGCTCCTCTCTTAACGGGGGCACTCGCGATGAAAGCCCTCCGCTTTTTACGAGTAACAGAAGACCGCGATACTCCAATATTTCGCTGCCATCGAGCCGCGAGTAAACAATGTCAATAATACTTCGGTGGAACTACAAAGATGGCAAAATAACTCTATCGTCTTTCTCATCATCGAGTCGATCTCAAATCCCAACGCGGGGATACTACTATGTTATCGAATGTACAAATCGACAAGCGATAGAACTCGACGCACGTGACAACTTCACTGTGTTGTACCGCCGTTTTGAAACGTAAATTTTACTATCATTTATGCAAGTTCTCAGCAGAATTTTCCGGTTGTAAATGCTTAACGCTGTATAGAGACGCGAAATCTTTTAGGGCGTAATGCCGTTTATAGTGACCTTAAATGTCCCGTGGACAGGTGGAAGAGTCCGCTGTAGCCCGGTTCTCGATATGTCACAACAATCTCGAGGCTTCTGGACTGTATTTGTTCCGAATCTTGGATACTTTCGAAAATGGGTCCGTCATCGATTTACCTTTCATAAACATGAAGAAACGAGACGCCATACAGTGGAGTCGAGCAGAGTAGCGCAACTTTTGCGCTAAGATTTCTTTTAACGGTGGTTGCCAGTAAGCTTGGATAGATCTCGTAACCAACGACCACACGCAGCGAGATGGGGGCGGCTATGAAAAATGAACTTACGTATGGATCTACAGGTTAAGCTGTTAAAAAATGCTATAGTTCTGGTTTGTATATGTCCTAAGAGACAAATCCAGTTAAGAACAAACACGTGATTAATAAAAAGTTATCCCGCTTTTTAGTACGACTACAACAGAACAATTCTCTCACATAGCACTTATCATGCGCGAAAACGTGTAGACTTTTTCAAAAATCAATTGCGTCCAAAATAAATTCATCCAAAATTCCAAAGTAAGTTCTGCTGGAAAACAGGAATCTGCCTCTATTACAACCGCTCTGCCATATTTATACGTGACTAATAGACGATCAAGGAGCTGCAACATATTCAAGACCAGCTTCTGATCTTAGACAAGATTTCAGTGGAATTTTTACTGCAAAATCAATATTTATGGTCCTTGCTCCCCCATACCTCTAAATGAGAACGTAACATTGGCAGTTAAGCATCTAACAAACTTTTTACTTGTGATGTGGCAATTCAACTAAGTCTGACTAAATACGAACAGAGTACCTGCGCCAAGCTATGATCCTCAATTGTGTTGGATACGCTTTTCAATTTTCTTCGAAGGACAGAGTGGTACCCTTCCAGCGCACACAAGTTTTTTACTGTAATTCTCAGAGAGAAAAACAACTCATAAAATCCATGTCGTGGCGTTACATCAGAAATGAACAGATAAAGTGTGATATATAAACTTTACCGGTATAATCACACCTCGTAAGTTTTCTGGATGTTGTTAGTCTACCCCCCATCGAAGCGACACGACTTTTATAATAAAAGATTCACAATAACAGTTTCTGCACCTTAATTAAACAAGAATCAGAAGCACGTGAGAGATTAAGAAATTATATTATTACCTGAGTTCGTGGACTCCAAAGTAATATTTGATATAGCATTGCTGAATATCATATTAGAAAAGTTAACTTTTGATGCAGCACCGAGCGAAGCCCTGAAAATACTCTCCTTTATTTCACCAAGGAAATTCATTGTCCTCTACGATAGAATTTTGAGTGTTAATTCTCCGTGTTTGGGTTTTGGGCGCTCTTTTTCCAGATTTACGTTTAAACCCACTGTTCAAAAGGATCTTTTGTTTTTGACAATACACTGGACCCCTAAGGATGTTCTTAAAGTCCCCCAGCATACAAAAGAAATGATATAATATCGTCTCATTTTATAACAGCGAATTTAGTTGAAGATGGACGATCTGAAAGCATGAATTTTTAAAGGTTGGTTGAAAATTTGCCGGACTTTTTACAACCTTTGATCGTATCTTGCGTAACTTTAAACGATCTTTACAATCTTCCCTCCAACCTCTTACAGGGATACAATCTTCTAATACCTTAATGAACAAGAGTTTCCTTTCATACAATGGATAGAAAGGACGAAATACGTTGGCGCGTAAATCTTCGCTACACACTTTGTCGATTATGATATATATCTAACATCACCTATGGCTCAGGACCTACGACACACTATTTAATATGTTTTTTTAATTAAAATGGAAAACAAATTAATGCAAAAATATGCCAACGGAAAACTACGTGGGACTTCACTTAAGGGAACATACTCTAGCTCAGAACGTGACTGACAATACCGCATGTATTATCCATTCTGTGAAGCATCTTCGAGGTTAGATCTGCAGCACTTAAAAGACCTCATCAATTATACTTTGTTCATATGAGCGGAAAAAATTTGAAAGAAAGTGGTTTTGCGGATACCAAGGCGTTTGGCTAAAAAATTATTATTTCAAGAAGAATTTTACAACAAATAACCGCCGGCCAGTCGACATTCGCAAGTTTTTAGCGCATATATAGCTTTTCGCTTTTTGGTTTTCGACAACGTTGTCTTGACATTACCCAGCTAAAACCGCAAGAACTTCAAAGGCACGCCATGGAAAAATACTTATATATAGTGTTTTTTATACTTTATACTTATATATAGATCTTATATATAGATCTATAAGATGATATGATTATTTATGACACCCCGCTAAAGCAGTATCGTCCAGCGAAATCACGCGGACGTAAAAACGCGAGCTTTGCATTGCAGCTGTCACCATCAGATGCATAATATTTCAAGTATGGCGCTCATCATTCCTTAAGTTTTTATTAACAAATTTAGTTAATTTCAGCGTGAATGGTGAAAGTTACTTGTGAAATAAGACTTTTAGTACAAGCATACAAAACTAATCGAAAGTTGTGTATTGCATTTGGATGGTGCGAAAAAAAAGATTTGTCCACTGTAGTTTTTTTTATATTTAGAGCATAGTGTATTTGTAGATTACAGTTTATCGTGGCATAAGTTAGTATTAGACATCTGCGACGAAGTACATGAATTATTTCAACCCTTCTGCAAAACGTTGTTTTATATGTCTACGTGGGATTATCTATTGCTTTGGATGGCCGGCTGGTGTATTATGTCATGCACAATACGATCGCAACGAGAAAAGATTTCCCTACGCTTCGTTGACACAGAGAGGTAATGTTGCAGCGATTACAGGTTATATCAGTAACATCTAACCTTGGAAATTACTTGCCAACTACTACCTTGCCTTACTATACCACAAGATCTATTTCTTTTATTACAAACCTCTAACTCAAAACGAGACGACAAGACAACCACGTAATCTATTATTACCTTCATTTATTGCGTTTTGCTGTATGAACGTCCTACACACTTCGTTACATGAAAAGTGTACTCTAGCCTAGTGGCTACCTCGGCAAGATTCTACAATGTTGACACAGACACATACACAGACACAGTGAACAGGGTTCATAAGGAAATCCTGGGGCTATTCTTGATAAGTATTTGATTATCGATGATTTGGAACAATTCCCCTGGTGTTGGAAACCGTCCGCTGGCTAGCTTACTCCATACAGGTACGTCTGCGACAGTAAAAGTACAAAATATATTTTCGTTTAAATTAACTGTTTAATGTTTATATATTGATAATAATACCAATATATATATATATATATATATATATATATATATACAAAATGGGCAACGGTTGTCATTACAGCTGGCGCAGTATATATCAGACCCTGCGGCTAAAATGGTAGTTGATAGTTGTCTGCTAAGAATATTTCGTTGTCAATCAAACAAGTGAAGTTATTACTACATCACAGTTGTCGTTATTGAGTTGCCTATATAAAGGAATAATTATATAATATAATATTTTTATAATCAAGCTTAATAAACGGTAAAAATATTTCCAAGTGACGTTCTTCATGAACAAAATTATAGAGAATATTACAAAGAGAAAATATGTATCAGGGTGTCACATGAAATTATGAACTCTTGGCACGCACACATTTGCCGGCGGGGAATTTAAATGGAGCTGCGGCGCTTCTTGCGCTCTAAGTCACTCGAGAGTGGAGTACACAAACATAATTATTCGCTTTTCTTTTTTGCGGGTCGGGAATCCGTCATCGGTGTAGCTCGCAAACTGCACCAATACGTCACAAATATATTTTTTTAGTACTAGTACTAACTCCGTAAATTCTATCTGTATAACTTAACGATAAAAAGTGAATCGGTACACCCACTTTTTACTATTTAAACAGGCTTAGAAGGGAAGTCTTCTAGAAAGAATAAATTTTAAAGGTTTCGTGGCTCAGTATATAATGAACGACCGTACATAACTTTTTATTGAAAGCTGTAACTGTGAACAGAGAGAGTACACTTACAATAGGCATTAATTCTTAGAAAAAAGTCACCAAGCCTTTTTCGTAGTGTTTATGTTTTGCAGACAATTATAATGCAAACACGAGACAGGGCTTTTTGCCATTTAAAGTCAGTTTTGTAGTCTGTTCTTTTTACTCAATAGGTCAAGGTTTTGACATTATGATTATTTGACTTGAGCCTACTTCAGTGTTAGTCAGATATAAAATGAAAGATAAAAATACACATAGTCAAATTAGCGTACTTGCAAATAAAGTGCATACCATTGTAATAAATTTCGAAATGTCCTGTAGAAGTCAACTTGGCTTCCAGTGTCGAGATGAGTAGAAATACGAAGATTGTAGATAACATCTAGAAGGAAATATGCCCTTAGAAAGGATTTTTTTCTGATGATAAGCATATTCAAGGAGGACCCTTTGGCTGTTAATTTAGCTAGGTTTAAACGATTATTAAAATAGATATTCCAAACCATATCGCTGCACCGAACGAAAAAGACGCCATGATATTTATAGAAGATAAACAATTTCATAAAGTAATAGGCAGTTAGATTTATTAATATCGGTAAGCTTACCCTGTTATTAATAGCGAACTCTACAATTCGCGGATAGCGTGACTGCAGCTGGCGCAATATATTTACCTGAAAGTATAGTAGAATGTCACCGCCAACGACCTTTTCACAACTTCTACAAACATAGATCAGGTCTTGTCGATATTTAAAAAGCTTTATCATTGCCACCATCATCTACGACAGAGTCTCAGTGGCTAATGAGTCTTTCTTTAAGTGCTTTGTTAAGGTATGGTGCCATCGTTTGCACAAAGCTTAGAAATGGGAAATATGGTGCGTCACTACGACCATTTCATTGTCTGTTGGAGAAAAATCCAGATGAGCGGAGCCAGACCGGTCTAGAGTTATGCCTAACAGTTTGAGAACCTGATGTGTGTCAAAAAAGAACATAAGTTTATAAAAACAGAAGGAACATAGCGTAGTCGCCTATTATTTTGGCAGTCGAAATCACGACTGAAATATTATTAAAATATCTTTACCTGGCTCACACCTTGCTAATTAAATTTTCAATCATTAGATAGGCCGAAAGCCAAATGCTACTTCTACTGTAGCCATTAGAGAAATACGTAACAAGAGAAAATTTAAGAACGTAATACGTTGTCTATCAAGAAACGGAACCAACCTTGAACATGAAAAGTGCTGCAAGCGTTAACTTAAGTGTCGTAAGCGCATACGATACGTAGTGTGCCCAGGCCGAATGTTGAAAGGCTTCCCCACGTGCTAAGACCTATACGAAAACGTGATTTGTGACACGTATATTAGCCAGCATGGGAACCTCTCTTTAAATAACTTCTTCAGTTATTCATATCATTTATTTTAATTAGAAATTTACAGACCCGATGCATATAATCTGTTTTAGTTGTTGTTGTCGAGTTGATGTTATCAGCATGGTATCGTTTATGTTTTACTAGTAATATCACGCAATGTAGTACTTGTGAACGGGTAATAAAGAAGAATTTCTGGTTGTTGGGTGGAAGATCGCTAATACGATGGTTAAAAATAATACCTAATTGTATCGGCTAATATTTTTAATATTGTACTTTGAATCACTTATGGTAGATAGCATAAATAGTAAAAGATACGATATATTTTTCCATTTATAGTACAACCTAAGGAAGAATCAATGGTATATGGCGAAAATGTTTTGGACACGTTGATTATTGTTTATATATTTTCACGACTACATATATGAGGTGTTCTGAATGTCCTGAGTAAGTTATTGTAGCTAGACTTTTCAACACACTATTGTAAAAATAAGGTTTTTAGGGGCAATCTTTGATGACGTGAAAAATGGTATATATTCAAACATTTTAAACGATACTCTTATAGTATTTAAAAAATAAACTAGAAAATTTTACTGAAACAAAAACGCTGGATAAAAGCATTCATTTTTAAGAAGTAAATTAAAATATTGATTGGATTGATAAATGTCACTTTGATGAACAACTCACCTGACCTTCGTATTTTTCGCTAAGAAGAGAAACATACTGTTGCAAGGTTCGTTGGTAGCCCGAGGTTGCACTAGAACAAATAATTCACTATAAGCTTCGAAGCGCAACGAAAATAATTGTGGAACCGTGAAACCACTATTTGCTAAACTGCCCACTCAATAGAATAGGCAGTTTTATGTCATTTGAAAATTGGTCGATCATTTCAGTAACTTCAGGTTGTTCAAAGAAGAATGCCATACAAAGAAAAAACCTGAGATACCAGTATACAATCCGAAGTGTTGGTAGAGGTTGTGTATTCAATTCAGCCAGGGTACGAGGTTTTGGGATTACCTGCAGGGAAAACATGACTCTGAAAAAATCTTGATACTGATTTTTGCTATTTGTTGGTAAACGTCAATTATCTTGGATTTATTGTCGGTCTAGAAATGTATAACTTGTGGCCTTTTCCTGTTAACAATAGCTGCAGTTATGCGTGAATATGTCGACGTGCAGATTTTATAGACTAACAAAGCAGGAAGGATATAAAAGAATAAAAATATGAATAATAATTCTTGTCCGTCACCTAACCCAGTTTAAAGGAAACTAACCTTTTGAGCAAGGACAGGGCATGCTATGAGCGTTAAAAGGCCAATAGCGAACTCCGGTGACATTGTGGAAATGCGCTAAATGCCCCTGTCAGATTTGTTTAGCTGAAGGACATCAACAATGCAGTCTTGTTATTATCAGTAAGGATCAGATAAGCCAGATATGAAATATTGGAATTACAGTCCGTCCAGAACTTCTAGATAATATTTTCCTTATTTTCTAACACTTAACTGATGCGTAAACGCGATTTTGTTTATTAGTTGCATATGAAACACAAACGATGAGAACATAGAAAAATTAAACGTATCGCCATTTGATCTTTCAGGGGCGGCTTGAGTAATCGACACTTTATGTAAGGCGGGTACTCGTTCAATACGGAAACTGAACGACCTCTAAGTAAATTATTTATACAAGGTATTAATATGAACAGAATTTTAAAAGAACAAAACGATGTGGTTTTGCTTGGGTCTACTTACACCTAGTTTTCGCAGCGTCACTCTCTGGCGCCGACTTTTCATCCGCTTTTTTTGTTGAACAACACCTATATAAACGCACATTTATAATTTATATATATATGACACAGTAAATAAAAACTCAACTCATGCCGCAGGTTCCACACTACTCTATGACTGATGTTACGCTACGCTTAACGATAGGAGCGCGCTAGATGCTGAGCTAACAGCTGACCATAGGATTGCTTTGGAGCCAGCTGTAGCATTGTCGATGTTGTTGATTTATGCTTGTTAACTCTAGGGAACTAAACGATGTTGCATCAGTGGTTTGTAAGACTAGCACTAAAACATATGTAAAATATCGTTGATTTTTATTTTTGAAGGCTGAGCGGCTTCAGATAATTTTGGTCTGCAAATAAGGACGCTAGCTTGAGAAGTCCTCAAGGCGGTTGTATTGAATACAAAAAGAAGTGTAGACCACTCCTTTGTAGCTTATCATGTCAGGTTATAAAAAACATTTACTGAAGTCTACGAAAATCGGACTTACCAAAAGGGCGTGTATCGTTTTGTCTTTAAAATCCAAAAAGCCTATTCAACAAGCTTTAGCTATGACTGTACGAAAGCTACTACGGCCTAGTTAAAATAGTAAGAGTCCTAGAAGATACAACGAACAAAATCACCGAATCCTGATAATAAACAAAAACTACAAATCAAACCTTGGGGAAAAGATCACAAAAACCATGCTTACAAAAGAAAGATAAACCGTTTGAATGCGAAACGTGTCGATTGTCGCATATTAGCTCCGAATGAAGGCAAAAAAGCACACGACTTCTCTTATAATACATTCAGGTTTTATTTGAAAAGAAAATGTTATACATGTTAGATCTTCATCGTCATATGATGTTGGCCTGTTCCACACATATATATGCCTTTAGAAGCGCATTGTGCTCATCTGAAGTGAGTGCCTAGGTATTATGGCAATTTATCCTTGCCTGCTATAAAACCTATTTATTTATTTCTGTTAATTATGTTGCCGAGATAATTTTTACTTTTCAGCGATTTCTTGCGCATACTATAACGCGACTTTATACATTCATCATCTTTTTCACACGAATCGTAAAAATGAATATATATATATATACA